AAAGATAAAATATTTTAAAGTATTGATAATACTTACCAACTATTTAATGTAATAATCAATTGCTTGACTTTTCATACTAACTACTAAGAGACTATACAAGAAAAAATTGAAAAAAACACAACTAACAAACATAAATAAATTCTAAATTGTTCAACTAATAAGATTTAATAAGAAAAAAATTATTAATTTATTTACAAAAAATAAAAGAAATTGATTTATCCAATATAAAAAAAAAAATTCGGTTCTGGGTCTAGAACCGATAACCGAACCAAACCATTCGATTCTCGATTCGGATACCCGTTCGGGTATTTCATTTAAAAAAACCCGCTCTGTTCGGTTCGGTTCGATTCGGACATTTTGCCCAACCCTACCCTGCACACGGTAGCGCGCCATCAGTCACTTGTGGCCTTTTCCGGTAGGGGTGGAGGCGGCCGCGAGCACTCCGACGGTCAAGTCAGTGTCTTAGTTAACTAAAGAGTGATGTTTGACGGTGAAGTAGTCACTGTGACGTGGTTGAGAATGTGTGAATATGTATAAAAAGGACTTTCTAGAATTGAAGATTCTGATGCAAAACTTGAAAAAATGGGAAACCCCTACTCTTACCAGTAAAGAAATATTTACACTAAGAAAGGGAAGAGGTGAACCGTTAGATGGTAGGACACGTGGCTTTAGATCCTGGGCGATCCATCTTTTCATAGGTGTCAATCTGTCAATCGTTTGGTTGGCGGGTATTAAATGGTTTTTGACATATTAACTGAATTGACCGTTTGTAGCCAGCCTCACGTCTCATCATTCAGTCAAGGACTTGACTTTGGAGATCTTTGAAAAGATCTTGATAGTGAGGTGGCGAGGCGGATTGTGAGATTTGTCGAGTATAGAGTGCTGACATTTGCATATGCCATGACTTACGGATGAATTCGGTGCTTCCACCAGGTGGGGACGATAGTGATTCAGCTCGTCTGCATGGGTTCAGTCCATCCTTGTCGGTTCAGTCTATCTCGTGGATTCAGTTCGTTTGCCACGTAACACACCAAATCAACTCGGCTACACGTGGCGGGTGAGGTGGATGGACAAGGTGGAGGACTTCAGATGGCCCGTAACAATAATTATTACAAACAAGAATGACATTTTAATATAGAATCTCTAAATTTAATACAGTATAAAAGCTTATACAAGTCATCACTATCACGTTAGAACATCAATATATCTTCAACTTAATCAACGAAATTTGTATTAACATATTTAAGTAAAAAATAATGTAAATATCACAAAAATTTCGCATTATATTGAAAATGCCATAAAATGCCCAGATGACTAGTTTAATACAATATAGGGGTGCTAAAGTGGGTCGTGTTAGTTGCCTAAGAGAAAATGAGTCGTATTGGATCTAATAACAAATCGTGCAAAACTATCCTTCATGCTAGATCTAATTCGATTCACTTTATGACTTTGAATAGTAAATAATAATTTGAAACATCACAAGAATCGAGACGATGTTCATCAAAGATTAACGCTTCAAAGAACTACTCCTTATGCATCAATCAATTTCAGTAATGCCCTGTTTGTTTCTCATTTTTCATCCATAAAAATGAAAAATATGACCGTTATCCATCACATCAAGTCATCAATTTTGAATTTCTATCTCTTATGTAGGGTCCAATAAGAACTATATTTTTCATTCTCATTCTACAATAATGAGAATTAAACGGGCTACTAATTCAATAGTTGTTTCTAATTCAATAGATATGAATACCTATTAACCATATTAGGAATATAATATTTTAGATTTTGTTGATATCTAATGAACAGTCCCGTTCTCCTGCCATCGGCGGGCAATCTTATCCTGCCCACTCGGAGAGAACCCAACGTGGGGATCTCACATTTGGAGAGAACCCCACGCAGGGTTCTCCTGCCACATCAGCAGGTGGGCAGGATAGCCCGCCCGCCGCGGGCATGAGAACATTTTCGTTCTATGTGGGCATGATAAGATTGCCCGCCGCGGCAGAAGAACATTCTCAATCTAATGAAATAAATATAATTTAATGAGAGTCAATTCAAATTATATTTCATACGATACCCTTCAATGCATTCTAAAGGCACCTTAATATTTTATTAAGAAGTCTCTACTTCTATAATTAAAATAAGTTATTCACTTTTTCATGGAGTAAATGACAAATAAAGTGCGGTCATGAATGTTCATATTAATGAGAATAATTTATTAACATTGATATGATCGTTGGACCTTCTTCAATATATGAAAATAAATAATAAATGCGAATAAATTTGATAAAATGAATAAAATTCTTAAATTAAATATCACAAGAAAAAAGACTTTAGGAAATAGGGAAATAGGCCTAACATCATCTTTTGGCTCACGGATAGACTAACGAAATCAGAGAGAGAACACAATAATATATACATTTCATTTTTATTTTTATTTTAGTTTCGACAAATGTTAAATAATAGTTGAAATATAAAACTCAATTATTTCAATAATACATTACTTTTCACTTTTCAATATATATTTAATTTATTTAACCATTTAGTTATCATCAATATATATATACATTCGACATATTCATTTCGTCCATTTGTATGAATTCCCTATAATAAATTCTCAATTAATTAACATCCATTTTTACTTAATTGGAAATTAAATAAATTATTTAACATTCATTATCATGTATATATTTCTTAGGAGGTGTTTGATGCACATTATTGAGAAGAAAATGTATTTTATGATGTGATTAAAAATATGTGGTTAAATTTTTTTTTTGAATTTGTGTGTAATATTATTTATTGAAAAATGTGTGGTTGTAAATGAGTATTGTAAGAATAAATTTTGGGAAGAATATGGATCAAATATGGGCTTAGTATTAATTAATTATCACATAAAGTGACAATCATTTTTTGGACAATTTTAGCCCTATTAGAACTTAATTATTTCAATAATACCTTATTTTTTATTTTTCAGTATGCATTTAATATGTGCATTTGACATATTCATTTCACAGATGTGCTTTCATTAATGTATGAATTCACTATTATAAATTCTTAATTAATTAACATTAACATTCATAAAATTAATATTCATCTTCATTTATCCATTTCAATGTTATTAATTCTAATTCTAAGTTAATTAGAATTTCATATTCAATTTTATTTAATTGGAAATTAAATAAATAATTTAAGATTTATTGTCACGTATATATTCTCTGATATTCATTCTAAATTAATTAACATCTATGCATATTTAAATATTACTTCACATCACTTATAAAATATTTCATAAAAACGTGCAAAGAACGTTCAATATTGACTAGTAATTGAAAACGCCACAAAATGCATGAATTGCAACTTGCATAATAGGAATGCTAAGGTGTACTAGTTATATCTAGAAGAAAAATATCGGTTGTATGGACCAAATATCAACTTGCATCAACGTAATCTTTCAAGATCGACTTTATTCTGATTTAGTTTGTGACTTTTTAATGGTAGGTAATAATTCGAAAAGTCACAAGAATTGAGACATCTTCGTAAAAAAATTAACACTACGTAGGTCAATCATTTGATGGCAAAAAATAAAAATAAAAATATAAAATATTCCTAATTCAAGAGTATATGAGGAATATGGTATGCCAAATATCCGCCGGAGCAGGTGGCCCAATGTTAACGTACGCAGCAGGATAGATTTTAGTTACGAATAACTTATTTTGAATATTAAATGAAAATAATTTACCCAATAATAAAAAATTAGCAAAAAATTAAAAAATCGATGTAATTAAAATATATCAACGAGACAATGACGCTCTCTTTTTAGTTACTCCTTCCCCGGATCATAACCGCACTGGTTCATCTCCTCCCCCAGTAAATGCTGTATGTATATGTGTAAGTGTAGTTACGTTGATGAATTGGTTGAGTAGGTGTTTTGATTATGTATGTTAATTGTGAAATTGGGTGTTTCAGGCGAGGAAATTGAAGTGGGGAGATCTGATGTACTTGCTTGCGGATCACTGCATACTGCTTCATGAAGGTTGCCGTAGAGAATAAAGGTATTTCTGCCCGGTGCCCTCTTTCTCTGTGTGTATATATGTGTGTGTGAGTGTCTGGGTATGTGTAAGTATTGATTGAACATTTTTTCTAATTTTTACCATTCATTTGATGGTGTGGAGATTGTTAAATTTAGACGAGTAATTAATTTTTTTTTTTAGCAAGGGCAATTGCCTTTAATTTTTATTTTACTTTTTAAGGCTATTTAGTTGTCATGTCGATTGAATTTAGAGTATTTTTCATTTCTCTCTATCTGGAAAAGAATAGAAAGGAATGATTTTTGTTCATAATTTGAGTGCAGCAAGATTAGAACTTTCTGTTTTTGTATGTATAGGTAGTACTGAGATATGGGCTAATGTGTATGCCCATCAGACGGACCAGAAAAAAAATATTTACTCAGAACTCCTGCTGAGGGGAGGACTGTGATTCACTGCGGTCATGATTGTATAAATTGTGTTGTTTTTTACTTCTTTGTGTCCTAGATCCTGTGTTCATTCAAATCATAGATGTGATTATTATGATTGCAAGTCATAGTGAGGGCTTCACCTTTACCTCCGAGGGGTAGAACTTGGAAAAAATAGTGAGGGCTTCACCTTCACCTTTATTATGATTGCAAGTCATAGTGAGGNTGGCTTGTTGGTTGGCTTAATTACGCTATAAGGGCTTGTAGCTAAAAGTCGTCTTAATAGTTTTTCTCTTCCTCTACCCTTCATTCCATCCATCCTCTCCCCGGTAGGTCGAGCTATTTAACCCTCTCCCTTCGGTCGAGCTTCATTAAATCCAGCCTGCCTACAAAGAAATTCAAAGAAAGCACTACCAACAGACAGAACAAAGAGCACTGAGAAAGAGACTCTTTATGCCACCTAGCATAGTCAATTAAAGGATCCGCTTCACCCCTATCTCTCTCAAAAGCCTCTCCCCGATAGTGCCTTTGCTGCCCTATGACACAGGGTTACGGTTCTGATCCTGTCTTCCTTCTTTGACTAACTTAGTCTGACTAGCCCAGCTGGAATATTTATTTAAATAAGCCTAAGGGCCTAGCTAGTTGCACCGCTAGCTTTCTTGTAATGCCTCCAGATAAGGCTAATCCGCAAGCGCCGATCATACATAAGGTTTTTAATCCTAAAGCGCAAGCGAGTTCCCCCAAGCGAGCTTACTGTAAACCGGCGCAAAAGAGACCCTTACTTCTGAAAGGTTGGACAGATTCCGACTTTAGCAAGGTACGCTAAAGTGAGTTCCATCCTTCTTTACTCACTTTATGATTGGTCCGTCCTAAGCAGAGCGGAAGCTTGTTGACTCCGTTCACCGTTCGGGCTTCAAGGCAATCCCTTCGCTCGATCTGATTTGATCATTGCAAGGGAAAGTCCTCTCTCTCTTCTCTTCTTCTTCTTCTTCTATTATTTTCTTTTTCTAAGTTTAAGTAAACGAAAACCCAAAACTGCTCCTACTATTCTCTTCTTTGACAAGTAAACCTTTATGCATCCAAATTTGGATCATGAAATAACACAAATGATTTTAGAAGTTCAAAAAAAGACACTACAATACTAGTAATGGTAGCATACTGTTGAAATCACGAGAATATTACATTCCTTAAGTAATATTGTATATTTAGGCAACTCGTAATTAGGAGATTCATTAGCATATTTAGATTATTGCCTTCCCTTTTTTTCTTATCTTTTGTTTACTATTTAAAGAGGTAATTAGGTTGTATTGATTTGTCAATATAATAAAAAGGGCTTTCCTGCTTGTACTCATCTGTTATCATGGTATCAGAGCAGGAGCCATAACGCACCTCGATAATGGAAACAGTCAACACCAGTAAGGGGTCCATGACCTCCGAACCACACGATGGTGAAATAGAAACCATACCCACAGTTGGCTCAAGAGGGAGGAACTGACAATTCGTTCCTCCAACTCATGCTGGAAAAGCTGGACGGAAAGAACTTCAGAGAATGGGCCCAGTCCGTCAAATTAGTGATCGATGGTGAAGGGAAAATGAGGTACCTGACTGGTGACACGAAGAAGCCCGCCTCAACTGATGTTGTCCGCTTGCAAAGGTGGAAATCAGAGAACTCCCTGGTGACTGCGTGGCTCGTGAACTCTATGGTCCCTTCCATCAGAAGAACTTATTTATTCTTACCCACTGCAAAAGACGTGTGGGATGCTGTTCGTGAAACCTACCGTGACTCCGAAAATTCTTCTCAAATCTTCGAAATTAAAAGCAAATTGTAGCAACTTAAGCAAGGAGAATGGGAGGTCACCGAATACTACATGGAGATGGTGGCGTTGTGGCAGGAACTCGATTTGAGTTCAGAGGAAGACTGGGACTGCCCTGGGGACTGCGTTCGTTATCGAATTTTTAATCTCTTACTTTCCCACAATGAATTTTTGGCTGGACTCCACCGGAACTTGGATGACATCAAGGGGAGAGTTCTCGGCTGGCGACCGTTACCTTCGACACGAGAGGTTCGTAGAAATTCGTCGGGAAGAGAGTCGGAGGAGAGTAATGCTGAATGGTGAAAATCACGAAGGAAAAGTGTCTACCTTGTTGGGTGATAGATCTGGGCCTAAAATTAGTGCTAATGGGCCGAGATCTGTAGGTCATTTTCCTAGTAGTGGGCGGGTAATATGGGTTACCTTCAAAATAGTGGGCCTGTTGAAAGTAATTTCCATGGGCTGATTTATAATATTGGGCCAGGGAACATGTGTCTACTTTCAAAAGTACCAAACGACAACAAAAAGGTCGACCCTAATGTGAACATTGCCGTAAACCACGACACAAGGAAGATACTTGCTAGGATTTTCATGGAAAACCAACTGATTGGAAACCAAGGTAGAATAATAGAAATCGAGGCTACCAAGTTTCTGTTGATCATCAAACTACAATTCCTACACCCAGCAGCACTTTGAATTCTGAACAGATAGAGCAACACGACAAAATTTTTTAAAGTCTTCAACCATCCAATCAATCTTCCAAACATGATTCTTCAAGTTCGCTAGCTCATAGAGGTAATTTTTTAACGGCCTTAAACACTACCTCCACATTTAAAATTTCTTGGATCATCGATTCAGGAGCATCTGATCACATGACGGGCTCCTACAACCTATTTTCCTCATATTGCACATGTGCGGGTAATCTTAAGGTCAAAATTGCTGATGGATCGCTCTCACCGGTCGCGAGAAAAGGGAGTATTCAACTCTCCGACTCTATAACTTTAAAATTCGTCCTTCATGTTCCTAATTTGGCTTGGAACTTATTATCTATAAGTCAATTGACCAAGACCTCAAATTGCACTGCTAAATTCCTATCTTCGCACTGTTTTTTTTAGGATCTACTATCGGGGAAGACGATTGACAGTGCTAAGGAGTGTGAGGGGCTCTACTACTTTGACAAGGTTGATACGAGTAAGCAACATCGAATTGCCGCTTGTGATTCTGCATCTAGTTCTAGTGATAGTGACGTCTTGTTATGGCATTTTAGAATGGGTCATCCCAATCTCCAATATTTGAAGCATGTATTACCCAATATTTCCTTAAATAAAAAGCTTGTTCAACTTTAAAGTGAATTTTGCGAATTTGCAAAACATCAACGAACATCGTTTCCAAAATCCACATATAACCATCAAAACAATTTACTATGATTCACAGTGATGTATGGGGTCTTTCCCGAATCCCAAATCGTACTCACGCGAAATGGTTTGTCACATTTATTGACGATCATACTCGCCTTTGTTGGGTATATCTCTTAAAAGAAAAATCCGACGTTCGGTCAGTATTTATTAATTTCCACTCCATGATACAAAACCAATTTCAAACACCTATTCAAATTCTGTGGACTGATAATGGCACCGAATACTTTAACAAAAATTTAGAGGATTTCTTTCAAACAAAAGGGATAATACATCAAAACTCTTGTGTTGAAACTCCCCAACACAATGGGATTGCCGAACGAAAAAATAGACACCTTCTAGAAGTTGCTCGAGCCTTGATGTTTACAGCACACATGCCAAAAGGGTTCTGGGGTGATGCTGTCTTAACTTCTGCTTACCTAATCAACCGAATGCCCAGTCGTACCTTAAACTTTGTATCTCCTCTCAACAAATTTCAAAAATTCTTTCCGAACTCTCGACTCAGCTCAAACCTACCCCTCAGAGTGTTTGGTTGTACCGTCTTTGCCCATATTCACAACATTCACCCACATAAACTAGATCATCGAGCGGTTAAATGTGTCTTTCTTGGCTACTCGCCTACTCAGAAAGGATACAAATGTTATGATCCTTCTACAAAAAAGGTCATTGTCAGTCTCGATGTCAAATTCTTCGAAACTACTCCATATTTCCACAAAACCTCTCTTCAAGGGGAGAATCTAAGTGAAGATCGGTACCTGAACTTAGAACTTCCTCTTGAGTCTATACCCATCACAACCTCTGCTATACCCTATAGTTCTTCTATGCCATCTACAGGAGGAAACTTGAATCCAAGGAATAATGCAGAAACACAAAGTAAAAAGGAAATATTTGTTTACTCAAGGAGACCAAAAGCAAGGCAAATTGAGAACCTCACTCCCGAAGCACCAAGACAGTCGGAACCAATGGCAGGTCCAGGATCCCATGACACTACAGTTGTATCAGAATCATCAGACATTGACATACTTATCGCACTCAGAAAACAAACTCGATCATGTACTGTTCACCCTATCTTAAAATTCGTATCCTGCAATGCTCTATCTACAGGATTTCGCAGTTTTATATCTCATCTTGATGGTACCAAAACTCCAAAGAACATTCATGAAGTTTTGGAAAATCCAAAATGGAAAGAGGCTGTGATGGAGGAGATGCGAGCGTTGGAAAATAATGATACTTGGGAAGGAATGGAACTACCCAGAGGAAAAAGACCAGTGGAATGCAAATGGATCTTCACTTTAAAATATAAAGCTGATGGGACAGTGGAACGATATAAAGCTCAGTTGGTTGCTAAGGGATACACACAAACTTATGGCATTGACTACACATAAACTTTTGCGCCTGTAGCAAAATTGAATACAGTCTGAGTACTTTTGTCACTACCAGCGAATCTGGAGTGGCCTCTCCAACAACTAGATATCAAGAATGCATTTCTAAATGAAGAATTGGAAAAAGAAATTTACATGACACTACGACCTGGTTTCTGCATGGTCAACGAAAAGGATCGAGTATGTAAGCTCAAGAAGTCTTTGTATGGACTCAAGCAGTCACCCAGAGCATGGTTCGACAGAATTGCAAATGTACTGAAGAAGCAAGGGTATCAACAAGGACAGTCAGATCATACTTTGTTTCTTAAGCAGTTTGATGATGGGACTAAAACAATCTTAATTGTATATGTTGATGACATAATCTTGACAGGAGATAACATAGTAGAAATGGAGAAACTGAAGAAAAGCCTAGCCACTGAATTCGAAGTAAAAGATTTAAGACAAATGCGATACTTCTTGGGAATGGAAGTAGCAAGGTCAAAAAGGGGAATTTGCGTCTCGCAAAGAAAATATGTCCTTGACCTCCTCGCCGAAATAGGAATGCTTGGATGTAAACCAAGTGATACACCAATTGAAATAGGAAAGAAAATCGAGATTGTTGGCAATACGGTAGACAAGGACAGATATCAACGACTAGTAGGTAAACTCATCTACTTGTCTCATACCAGACCTGATATCGTATTTGCAGTTAGTATGGTAAGCCAATATATGCATTCTCCAAAGGAAACTCACCTCGAAGCATTTTATAAGATACTCAGATATCTGAAGGGATTCTTGGAAAAATGACTATTCTTCAAGAAAAGTGAAATAAAAGAGGTAGAAGTCTTCACAGATGCAGATTGGGCAGGTTCCACAGAAGACAGAAGGGATATTGCACCTTTGTATGGGGAAATCTGGTAACATGGAGAAGCAAGAAACAAAATGTTGTAGTCAGAAGTAGGGCCGAAGCTAAGTTTAGAGCAGTAGCACAAGGAATTTGTGAGGGATTGTGGTTGAAGAAACTTTTAGAAGAGCTACACGTGACAATAAAATTTACAATTAAACTATATTGCGATAACAAAGTTGCAATCAATATTTCTCTTAACCCAGTTCAACATGATCAAACTAAACATGTAGAGGTGGACAGACATTTTATCAAAGAAAAGGTAGAAGAAGGGACTATTTGCATGACGTATGTTCCCACACAGGAACAAACAACGGACATCTTCATCAAAGGACTACCTCAACAAAAATTCGATGATTTCATTCACAAGTTGGAGATGATCAATATCTACCATCCAACTTGAGGGCAAGTGTTGAAATCACGAGAATATGGGAATATTCCACATTCCTTAAGTAACTTTTGTATATTTAGGCAACTTGTAATTAGGATTGATTATAAGAGATTCATTAGCATAATTAGATTATTGTTTTTTCGTTTTTTAATATCTTTTGTTTACTATTAAAGGAGGTAATNTGTTGAAATCACGAGAATATTACATTCCTTAAGTAATATTGTATATTTAGGCAACTCGTAATTAGGAGATTCATTAGCATATTTAGATTATTGCCTTTCCTTTTTTTCTTATCTTTTGTTTACTATTTAAAGAGGTAATTAGGTTGTATTGATTTGTCAATATAATAAAAAGGGCTTTCCTGCTTGTACTCATCTGTTTTCACATACTTACATTAAACAGGAAAGGGGAATGTTAGAATGGCTCACATTCTTGGTTGCAAAGCACACCACTCTTTGTGAGCCAAATGGTTGTAAGAATAGCTTTCTGTAGAGGTGTAAGATGTGCATGCAGTCCAGGCCCAGCATATCATCAATCCATGTGGCAGTCTTTGAGTTCTCTGCATTTACCAGAGGTTCAGTCTACCACAAGGCCTACTGGGCACAGTAGTGTCAAGGCAGACTGGGAAGAGCCACTTTAATCCTCTAGTTTGGTACTTACATGGTTTCGACATTACCTGACTTGAAAATACACACAGCAAACTACAGTTTGCAACAATATTGTTAGGAATCAATTTTGAGATTGGCATTGAGGTTATTTGTCTCAGAGAGGGTCGGTGCAAGCTGAAGGGGGAGGGAACTGTAGGAGGACAATAGTCTTTCTGGAGTTAAGAGGGAAGATTCAACTTGAAAGACCAAAATATTGATGCTAATCGCAAAAATAATTCTTTGTGTTTCTATACATTAGCTGTCAAGCTGCCATACTACAGTCAGTGCATCTGCAACTAAAATAATTCAGCAATATGATATTGCAGGAAAAGAAAAACGCCTAGTTTAACAAATATACTCATAGTAGGCAAACATGGGGAAGATTCATATTCACACATATAGAAAATAGGGCAAATATGCATGGATAAAGTGAAACACAGATTCTACAGATGGATTGAGCCATATAATATTACCTGAAGCCTTTATAGTTTATCCAGAACTTCTGATCAGAAACAAAAGAAAATAGTACTTTTGTTGTATTATATATTTTTACTTAAAAATGAACAAACCATGACAGCAAGATATGCTATCTGTATAGGTTCTACAACTTAATTTGCTGCACTTATAGGACAGAGCACTGGGTTTTTTCTTTTGGGCCCTTCATTGAGAGGACTAACTGGATGTGGGATGGAGAGGAATGAAATGTAGACTGTGAAACAAGTGGTAGTGAGTAGTGATTATATTTCATTCACCTCCAATGACAAACATTTGGGGGGGGGGGGGGGGGGGGG